AAACCAAGCCGTTGGAATAAGCCATACCGGCCATCTTCAACAACAGGAGTTACTGCACGAGCAGGATCATATCTAGTTTGATGGGTGAGGGATGGACCTGCCACTGGTGGCACCTCCCAGTAAACATCAAGAACTGATTCAACAAACCGACTATTCTGAAAATGTTCTGAAAACGAAATCAGCTTATTACTTTTACTGTTGTTAAAGTCATCCAGCATATATCCTCTAACACCCCACCATGCTTCACCTGGGCCACAAAGTTCGTCAATATCCACTGCTTTCTCCCAGAACGTCTTCCTTCTTGACCTAATCCTAGCTTCATCACTGTCTTTAAAGCAGCTGTGACCACCTCCTGCAGCACCCAAAAGAAAAAAATAAGACCAAATCTACAGTAAAAAAATTACTTGTTGAAGCAATGAACCATAACCAACAGATGAAAAAGATAATTCTAGGGGAAAAAAAACCAAAAAACTATTCAACCACAAACCAAAGAAAAACACACATTTCTACAAAAATGAGGTACGTATTTGGCCACACACTTAGTCTTTCAGCAATTACTCACTCCTTGGTTATACTACTATGGTTTCTTTTATTTAACAAAATTATTTACCAGTATTCAATCCATACTACATCAACTAAAGTTACTTTGGCCTTCATAAGAAAGAAAGAGGGCAAAGGCATGAATACATATTATAACATAAAGAAAATGACAAAAAATAGTTGAAAAATGAAAAATAACAAGAGAGAGCATGAACCTCTTATATAGGGTTGATCACATATCTGCCTTAAGGAATAATGGTCTCCTGTTCCAGTATCATAATTATCCTCGAAAACTAGATGTCGAAAACCAGCTTTCAGAGCCTGCCGAACTCTGCTCACCAGAGCATAAAATTTGAAAAAGTAAGCAATCAGGATTTCTGGTGATCGTTCAACAATGAGTGGAAGGAGCACAATTACATTGAGATATTGTAAGTACCTTTTGAGTTCATTTTGATGGTCATCGAAAAAAATAAGAACGCGGCTGAGATCAGTAATCCCATGTTTCTTCATTAGTTTTCGCCAATCAATACTTCCAAAATCCAAAAAGTCTTTTCCAGAAAAGTAAGTGCAGTTCCCATCAACATATGCAGGCCCCTTCTTTAAATACTTTTCAGGATGCCGGGGTGTAAGGGTTATAATTGGCGTGTCTGGCATCGCTTGCCGCAAAACCCAAGTGGAATGCCCCTTGAAAGCCCCACTCTCAATCATCAGATCTGGCTTCAGCCACTGCGCAATGAACCAGAGCCCAAAGCTGTGGTCAAAACCCATCCCAAACTGGTTGTTTTTTATTGGTCGTGTTTCATATATAGGTACAAACAATTCCAAGCCCTTGATTAAATCCTTTGATGTCCATTCAACTGTTTTTCCATGTTTCGATCTGCCTTTTGCCAAGGATAACATTATAAGAATCAAACAAAGGTATGAACCCAGAAACTCACACTAAAAGCAAGGATTCTAAACTCAATAAAATAACTCAAAATTCCCCACATTCACTCATAAAGAACCCACCGGGGTTCACATACTACCAACTTCAAGAACATTAAGCAACGGGACTGACATGGGCATTGGCCCACATATTTAATGCAACAAATCCTAACTTTAATTAGACTTCTATACCGCAGATTTTAATGGGGGTGCCAAATTCAGTCAGAATGGTTGGTTTGCCACACTTTGATTATGAACAAATGCTAGACAAGTCTAAAACATAAAGAAAAGTTTGTAAATATAAACATATCCCATACCAGCAAGAACTACAATCCAAAATACGCACATCACAATTCCTTTTGAAATATCAACTTAATGAAGCTACTACTAAGCCAGTGCAACTAAATTCATTGTTCACTCAAGTCAACTCAACTGAGCTAAATTTTCCAACTTTTCTTACAAACCCATAAAGTGAAAGACTTGAAATTGATTCCAAGTTCCCCAATTACTCAGTTACCAAAAAATTCTACGTCTTTTATTGAAGGCAACGAAACGAAGCCCGAAACGCTAGCAAACCCTTGATCCGAAATTGACGTCGACATCAAAACAACATCCAGATCCATCAATCTATCACTGAAGAATACGACTTTACAGAAATGCGATTCGAGTCGGATATACTTACACCAGGGCACGCCGAGGGATCCAAAATCCGATTCGAGGCCATCGAACCCGAAGAAGCCGGAGCGAGAAACAGGGTCGTAAGGCGAGACGCAGACGAATCTCCGGGAGTTGAAGATGAGGGAGAAGATGAGGAGGAGGACGAGAGCGAGAAGGAGGAGGCAGGGCCAGACTGGTCCGGTTCGGGTCAAGTAGTTGGTGATTCGGGTTGTGAAGAAGGAGATGGGCAAGTGTTTCTTGGTTTTGGACTCGTCGGCAGCTACGACATCGTTTTCGGCCGCGGCTTCGTCCGCGTAGAGCGCGTTCCGGCGGGAGGAGAGGGCTCGTTCGAGCATTTTGGTTGGTGATCTTTGGGTTGAAGATGAAGGAGGGAGTGGCATTTTGTGAGAAATGGAAAGTGAGAGAGAGTGAGACGGAGTGAGAGAGGAGAGAGCCTTGGGGCAAGTGTGGGTCCCTTTCTTTCTTGATTGTTTGGGAGAAAAAAGGATAATGGAATTGAATGAGAAGAAACTCCGTTGGTGGTGTTAGCTATACGGTGATCAATGAATGGTACCCGTTAGTGTTAGGTTGGGTGGGCATCTCATCCGAAAAATCCATATACCGATCGTATTGTATTGATAGTTTGGTTTGGCTTAGTTTGTTTAATTTTTTATTTTTTATTCTTTAGATCAATCCGTATCAAAGTATTTGGTTAAAAAAATCGGGTAATAATAACTCTTAATCCGACAAAAATTCGTACCGAACCGAACTAATGTATATGATCTATTTTTCGTTATAATGTATGTTTATATATAAAACACACATACATATATACATAAGAAGAATACACATGCCTGTAGTAAAGATGTATTTGTCAATTAATACATATTAAAGCTGCAATACCATTGGATTGATATGACGTTTCACCTTTAGTGTCCGCATTTTAATTAAAATCCAGTCATTCTTATGTGAGCAAAATTGTGTATATATATATATATATATATATAATCCCCTTTTATTATAGGATTTCTCAAATAAATTTATTTGAGGGATACTATTTAGGGTCCCATACAAATTTTTTTTTCAACGATCCAAATCATCTATTTTTCACATTTTCATTCAGAGATCATCCTTTCAAAAAATCATGCAAATTGAAATCATTAAGGTATCTAATTGAGACCAACAAAATCAATGAATACGATGATTCAAGAAATTACTTAAATTTTAATAATTTAATTGAGTGGTCAAATGATATCGGATTTAAGGGATTTTTTATAGAGATGATTCTTGAATGAATATCTACAAAATAGATTGTTTGGATTAGTGAAATACAATACGGAATGAGCCCTATAGGGTGTCATTCAAATAAACTTATTTGAAGAATCCCTCAATAAAAGCTCTCTCTCTTTATATATACACATACACAAATACGTGTTAGAATATAAGCCTATAAGCTCTCTCTCTTTAAATGTGGGTGCTATATTCTATAGACGTTTCATTATTTAAGTACCCACATTTAAATATTAATATATGCAAGTTTGAATTTGCCAACTCCTCACTAAAACCTCTGGAAATGATCCCTGGCAAAGAAGGGATCCTTGAATTTGACATATCTTTGTCTATTGGGCATTTTCTTAAATGTTGAGTTGGAGTTTTTTAACTAGCATTAGCAAAAAATATTTGTATTGAAGATTTTTTGTTAAATGGTACTACCGGATTACTGAATTAATCTTAATTAAATAAGCGGTTAAGCGATCCGAGCGGTTAAAGGTTCTAATGGTGGTTAATGAAAGAGAAATTGGTCTACTGAAGGCTTGTTAACGGAAGAGCCCACTACCGTTCGTAACCGATCCGTGCCCAGGCCTAGTGTTAGGTAAGCTATATGTGGTTAAAACTATGAAATATTTGACGGAATGACTAACCGATGTATGAAAATAATAGAAAACTCAAATTTGTGTACGAAGTTGATATGAAAAAAATTTGATATAGTAAAGTCTAAATTTAGGTAAACTTTCGGTTAGTAAAGTAAAATATATAAACTATAAAATTGTAAAAGACGTTTGAGCATCTCTAGCCGATGTGTCAAAAATGTCATATAGACATTTAATGGCTAGAAATAACATCTCATATCACTCCAACCGATATGTCAAAGCTGATGTGGAATGAAAGCTAGAGGTTGAAATGTTATTTTTGACATTTCAAAAGCAAGATGTCAAATGAATATTTTATTATTATTTATTTTCTTTTCTTTTTAATTAAAAACAAATCAACACTAAAATATAATAATTTAATAATTTAATTTGACATATCGGATGGAGTGCAAAGCTGTGTAAGATGTCAAATTGCCACATCAGCCATCAAATTTAAATTTGATGTTTGGTATTTGACATCTCCCTTAAAGATGCTCTTAGGCTGTAAATAAATGATGTTAACCACTGAGTTAATTAAATGGCAATGATTTCCCCACTCCTATTTTATCCACTTACACTCCATTTTTAGTTATAAAAAAGGAGTGTAAATGGATAAAATAAGAGAAAAAGAAGTAGGAAAATCACCACTCTAATTAAATTCATAAAGATTATTAAGTTCGATGACCTTTTTTGTCTTTTTACACAATAATAAAACTTACAGCTTAATGATTTAAGTATTGGGGTGAACAAAGAGAAGTGCGGGGTTTAAATAGAAAATCTCTTTCACATATCCCTTGGAGATGATATGGAATATATATCATATACGTATGTGTTGTCACATCTTACTCTAAATTATGAACCCATCGCATTTATAAACATTTACACACCACCAGTACTCGCCACTGGCCGAATTTCGCAGCATTTATACATTTCATTTCACCAAAATATATGCACCAAAAGAAGACCCCCTCCTTTGCTGCATTTTGAGACAAAGAAAATGGCTTCCCTACTGCTCTTCCAACTCTCCCCAAACCCCATTTTTTTCAACCAAACCTAAACCCAAAATCACACCAACAACAGAAGAAAATACACAAAACAAAAACATGTTCAGAAGCATTTCAAACAAGGAAGCCCCATCCTTCTCACACTTCCCATACACCCCACCACACCCTACCAACTCTCCTTCCTCCGTCTCCCAAACCCTAAGCCTCCATGCCTCCCCAACCTCCTCTCCCCTCCACCCTCTCATTCCTACTCCCTCCAAGAACCCCGACCTCCTCACTGCCTATCGCTGCATCTCATCCGTCCTCCAAAAGGACGGCCAGATCTTGTCCATTGCCGCATCCAACGGCCTCGTTTACACCGGCTCCACCACCAACCTCATAAGGCTCTGGAAGCTCCCTGAGTTCACAGAATGTGGGCAGCTCCAGGCCAAGGCTTGCATGGTTGTGGCAATCGAGGTTTCCCATGACAAGGTCTATGCAGCTTATGGCGACGGTAAGGTTAGGGTTTGGCAGAGAGCATGGGATGGGGGGTTGAAGCATGTCAAGTTGGCTACTATTCCAAAGACCGGAAGTTATGTTCGGAGCTTCTACATTGCCGGCAAAGATAAGACTGTAAGTACTCAATGTTTGATATATTTCTTCTTTTTGTTTATTAATTAATGGTAGGTTTTGGGTGGGTAAGAGTTTTTTTTATTTTTTTTATTTTTTGAATATTGATGAGTGTGACATATAGGGGTTGAAACTTTGGAGAGACCATTAATTATGATGCCCCAATGTGTCATAGGAAGAGTGAGATGGTGAAATCGGATAGGGAAATCACATATAGGCTTGGGATGGCCCCAACCTAGTATTATAGACAATTTTTGGAATTAAATTTATGTAGTGGTCCTCCCGATTAAGATATTTAGACTTCTTAGTCTTTCTAAAAAACTTTTCTGGGTCCATCGTTGGCTGCAGAACCATCATCAGGGAATCAAAATATATATGTTTGGAGTCTACACGTTTAGATTAATGATCGCATCTCTAATAAAAATTCAAGTAATTAACGGTCCATTAAATTAAATTTGTTGCTGTACATAAGATTATTGTTGGATTTTTATGAAAAGAACTTTGTAAGAATTAATATTGTAAAATGATTTCTAGCTATTGAGAGATTGTCGACGTTGGGACTGGCCAAGGGTGAAGCACTTTACTCTAGCAAATAACACATGAACCACATTTGGAGCTGATTCATTGAATTCAGTACAGATTTTGTTGGTCGTCTTTTATGACCATTATTAGACAAGACAAGACGAAGTGCGAATTAAATTTTCTGTCTCTTATGCTAAAATTAGTAGATGGAACACAGGAACAGTCGTTAATTAGTAGCAGTAATAGATGAATCCATCGTATATCATTCTTGTTCTTGGCTTTTGTTGTTATAATTGCAAATTGCTAAAAAAACAGATTCAAATTTACTTTGATTAATATTTCTATGTACGTAACAGATGAAGCATATGGGTGCTATAACATCCCTAGCGATCAATGTATCCGAGGACATCCTATACTCAGCTTCCACAGACAAAACAGTCAAAGTGTGGCGAATTTCGGACCTCAAGTGCATTGAGACCATCCAAGCTCATTCAGGGCCCATCAATGCCATCATTGTCGCCGATGATGGGATCCTTTACACAGCCTCAGACGATGCTACAGTCCGAGTCTGGCGTCGCAACTTTTGCAGCGGCGACCAGCTTCCTCACTCGCTCACTATAACTCTACCCGCCAAGTGCTCTCCGGTCAAAACCCTAACCCTAACCTCAGATGGCGGGGTCCTCTACGGCGGGTGCACCGACGGGTACATACACTATTGGCTCAAGGGCTGGTTCTCAGGCCAGTTGCAGTATGGGGGTGCGCTCCAAGGCCACACACATGCAGTGATGTGTTTGACCAGCGTGGCGAACTACGTGGTGAGTGGGTCCGCTGACTCAACCAGTAGGATTTGGTCTAGGGATGTAGAGGATGGCCAGCACACGTGTCTAGCAGTGCTTGTGGGGCACAGAGGCCCAATCAGGTGTGTCGCAGCATTTTCTGGACGATTAGGGGAAGAGACTGAGGAGGGTTGCACAATTTGCACTGGGAGTATTGATGGGGTTCTTAAAGTGTGGCGTGTGACCTGCACAAATAAAGTTGCTGAAAATATGACTTCAACGCAAAATGGGTGCGACTATTTTGAGCTCTAGAAGGGAAGGGGACTTTCTCAATTAGGGATCTAGCTATAGCTAACTTGTATACATATCTCATATGTGTACATAACTCTGGTGTAGCAATACTAATTACGACTTTGCTTATGCGTACATAGTTTTTATTTATTTTTAATATATAAGTGATATTAGGAGAAACGAGATTCAAATATACAATGCCCCTCATTTTAGTAATAAAACTGGTTGCTTTGTAAAAGGTAGTAATTTGTCTCCATCTCCAAAAATGATAGCTTTGTATTGAAGTTCTTAAAGATTCCACTTTGCTAAATAAAAATGTTACCTAGAAAAATTGGTTATGTCCAAATCTGATATTACAACTCCCAGAAATAGCATGTTCATTTTTTCTTCCATGACTCCGACATAGAAGTTCGTTTGTTGCAACATTAAGGCATTTCTTACAATTTTTGATAAAAAGGTCTCAATACATTTAGCCGCACCGTAAATTGAGGTCTTGTTTGGTATTTGTATCTCTCCGCCATAAAGTGACTTCTTGTTTGATATTTGTTTGATATTTGTATTTGCCCACGGAACAAGTGATTATAACTTGTCCGCACCATAACTTGTCAAATGTAAGGCAAATGTATACACAC